AAAAGCCAATATTTAGTCCCCCTAGAAAAAAAATACAAAATTCAAAAAGTAGCAATGAATCTACTTCTATTCTAAAGTACTTTAAAAAGAAGTAAGAGAGAAACATATGTTATGTAACATAGTATTTATGATTTAGTGTATTTTTACAATGTTATGCAAATTATGGCTATTGCAGCGTATTACATTTATATTCAGTATTTTTGATGTACAGAAGTTTCTTAATAAACATTGTTTTTCTAAGGAAGATTTTTTAGGATCCAAAGACGTAAGACTGACATGTAATTGTACTGAGTGTAATTATTATATCCATTGAATTTTATTTCTGTCTGTCTCTTTTCTTCTTATTTTATCTTATTGTAATGTAGATTTATGTATTTTTTCTACAGATATATTTATATGTGTGTGTGTGTTTCTTTCTTTCTTTCAGTCTTTCTTTCTCTTCTTTTTTACTTACTTACAAACTTGCTTTCTACTTTCTTCTTTCCACTTTTAAGTTTACTTTTACTTTTCAGGGAAGTTTTAATTTCATCAATTAGAGACTTTTCTCAGTTATGGTAGGGAGTTATAGGATATCATTTTTCTCTTTCCAGTAGAGTGACAAATTGCACCTACCAGTTAAATTAACATGAAATACATATAGAAAATGTAGATGATAGCTGCTGTTCAGTTATGGTTGTGCTGAAATTGATCAGAAAATGGTAGCTGAAGTTAATCTGTAATTTTTCAAGTATAAATTGAAGTGTAATTTTCGTTACTTAAACTGCAAGATCCTGGATTTCCTACTAATTGCTGGTGTCATTTTTACGGCGTTGATCAATACGAAAGTGCTGCAGTTTGTCCAAAATGGTTGAAAATACCTCTAACACCTTAAAAGTACCCTATTAGGGGAGCTACCCATCCCCCACATTACCCATCCTTTTGCATCTTACCTTTGTTATTATTTATTTTGTAATTTTCTCTATGCGTATATGGTATAATTTTCCATCTTACTTTTTTCTTTATTCCTTCTTTTATATTTATTATTGATACAGAGTTCATAAAATATTGTGAATTACGTTCAAGTAACTATAAATAGTTTCACCATATTTCTTGCCATTTAGCCCAGTGAATATGGATTTCTCATTCAGAAAAACAATAGAAAAGGAGGACTTTCCGAAATCAATGCAACTCATTCATATTTCTACTTCACTGGCAAAAGGTAATTGAATTTCATAAACAAGATTATCTAAATGAGCCGTAAGTAGAAATTTAAAAAATGCTGATAGTATTCTTGCTATCACTTACATCACCAAGAGTAATTCTTGAAATTATCAGTGTAAATTTAGATAACAGAGACAATCCTCATAGATATTGGATGTAATGAAGAAGCTTTTTGTCGTCCTTGTATTAAACGTTTGTGTGGTATTCATTGCAACATTTTCTTGGGATTTTGAATTTGTGATTGCTCAAGGTGGTAATTTTTTTAGGTTTCTTTCTTTCTTTCCTTTTCTCTTTCTACCTTTGTTTGTACCTTTCTTTCTTGGCAATGGTTAAAGGAAAGACCTAAGATGAGAATATTTTATTGGGGAAAAAAACAATAATTAAAATTGACAATTACATATTAGTAGGAGATATAACCCCTTTCCAAAAGTAATTTTATTTCATAATTGATTATCATTCATGGAGAGAAAAGTGCTTGTAAACCGACTTTAAATAATATAAATAGTAATATGCATAGGTTATGATTACACTCTCCAGGCTGTCGATTTTCACTTACATCAATTTTTTTATTTATTTCGGCCTTCATCCTGAAAGTAAAACTAAACCATTACGACACAAATTGTTAATTACTGTGAATGCATTAATCTGAATAGAAAAGTTAAATCGATTTTCTGGATTATTTCTGCCTTCATCCTTTCTGTAAAACTAAACCATAAAACACAAATTGTTAATTACTGTGAATGCATTAATTTGAATAGAAAAGTTTAATAGGATGTTAGAGCTTGCAGGAGAATAACTTGTTTCCTCACATCCACATTGTTAGTAAGAAAAGAACTTTCAAAGTATAGAAATATGTAATGAAGTTTTAAAAGTTTTCAAAGAAATTTTTCAGTAACTATAATAAATATATGGAAATATTAGGAAAGTTGTTCAAAAATTCTTGGAGGAAATGAGGTCAAATTAAAACTTAAAGTGGAAGTTATAGCTGCAAAATTAACAGGTTAAAAGATTTTGGAATTCAACAGATGACTCTTTTCACTTAGTTCCACTCATATGTAATTTTGTAAATATCTTGAAGCTTACTCAAATTGGATATTCCCCTTCCCATGGAAAAAAAGTTACATGCTATTTCATGTAATCCTAAGCTGCTGAAGATTCTATTTATCCAAAGCATGGGGAATATTTAGAAAGTTTTAAGAAAGTAATTTCGATACAGTTTTAGTATAGATTGAGAGCAGGTGAGTTTTCATATAGACAGTATTAGGTTAATAGTGTTCTAGCATTAACTAAATACTTTTTA